TCCATCCATAGAGACCAAAGTATAAAGGCTCACAAGGATAAAAAACCAACTGAAAAGAAAACGGGTAACTGAATGAATGAATATATGCAACCTCTTTTACATTTGTCCGTGAGTAGGAAAAAAAATCAGACTGTAAGGTAGAAAAAAATCATATAACAAACATCTTATATGAAGTAAACAATTCATTCAAAATTACAAAACATGTTTACCCTTTTTCACAGCAGCAAGCAACAAATAGAATGAAATGAGGAAAGCCCACTCCTGGAATAATAGGATGCTCATGCCTGAAACCAAACCAAAAGCTGCCTAATAGCATCACTATTTATTTTACACCTTATTTAAGGTCTAACATTAGTATTGAATATCCAGTTGAGAATTCTACAAACGATGATGTAAACGACTCAATGCTTCCTTCCCTTTCAAAAAGATTGTCCTTCGATCAACCATAGGGCATATTCTATTCTTACTGAATTCATTCTATTAAGAAGCTTCTTTTAGATAAAAAAGAACCGGGATTATGGAGCTGTGAAACTGCAAAGCCGACTACAGATAAAATGCAAAATATTCATTTCTTCAGAGTCTTGCCATAGGAATATGTACAAGCCTGTGACATCGGCCAATCTGGATGCTCCAGTAAGTTGCGAAACAATGCCACTAGGAAATCCATTACCCTGAACATTTGTAAGATGAGATACAAAAACTGCGTATTTGGTGATCTATTAATCACAATAATAGAAACCAAAGTGGTATACAAAAAAGTAAGATGAATGGAGGATAACAAATTTAACCATTTCTTCCCACGACATTTAAAGAAAAACGGAAAGCACTAAAACGAAAAAAAAAATATCTTATGAATAACAAATCATCTCTTAAACCTCTTCAAAAGTAAATGAAAAGAAATATCTTCAAAGCAACTGTAGAAGCCTTCATAGGCCAAAAAAAATTCTCCCTCCAACAATATTCTAATTTTAAGTTTCCCATTTCTCTCTAACCAAAGAATCTAAATAACTTCTAGAATAACAAATTACACAGAATTCTAGCTTTCCTACTGGTGTAGAATCCACTTTTCAATGAAGAAAGCCCTGCAGTTTTTGGGAAGACCAAAAGCAATAATTTACTATAACAATGTCTAGCCGTCCAAAAACAACAATATAGTTAGCAGTCTCACAACCCTTTTTCATCACTTGTATCATTAAGATTGCATATAGCTAATGTAACTATCGAGCTTTGCACATGAATGCCGAAATGAAACCTTTACCTCGTCAACCAAAGAAGACCATTGGTGCAGCGGGATGATCCTTTTGCTGTTTTAGCTTCAATCTCAACACTCACTAAACTATACAACTGGTTGAATTGTTCAGGATTCGATTGATACTTGGTTTCCAACCTCTACAACAAAACCAAATAAGAATAATAAAGGGGCATCTTAAGAAAGTAAATCTTGTATAAAAGTCAAAAGACATTTTATTTAAAGGCAAAAAAAAAAGAGAAAACACCAAAGAGAATTATAACGAAATTGCAATAGAATGGTAAAAAATGGCAAAAGATCAAACAGTTGAAGCTGCAAATAATGAACATAGCCAAACATTCAAACACATAGCCTGCAAATAATCAACTTCCTATTAACCTGAGCTTTGTCAACTTCCTATCAAAAAGATCTTCAAAAGACATCTCTTTATCCTTAAAGATTCTATGATTTCTCTCTATCCAGATGACATATAAAATAGCTAGAATCAAAGCTCTCCAAATTGTCTTGGTTTTTCTCTCCCTCCCAAAACTGAAAAAATTGTCCACCAGTATAGAGTTACAACAGAATTATCACCTACAGACAAAAATCTCTTTTATTTTCACCTCCCTGTCATTTTTAGGACTAAAAAGCCTTAGAAAAGTGATTGCAAAAGGCTGTCATTTTATTTTTACATATCATATTTAATGCTTTCTTCTCTCAAGGATATATTTTCCTTTCTTTTTTTTTGTTTTCAAGAATTAAGGATTATTGATGTATTCAGGTCATGTTCTTCTCTCTTTCATTTTTTTTCTTTTTTATTTCTTAATGTCTTAACATATATACTCATGGTAAACTAGGAGCAAACTCATACCCAGATAAGAAACCACAATCAGATAATTAATTATCTTCTTCAACGAGCTTCAAGGATACATCCCTGTTCTTCCACCATCTCATTTTTATCTAGATTTGTCTAGCAAATGTACTTTAAAAAATCGATTTTGGCCTCCCAAAATCTCTACCAAAGTAAGCCCAAATCGACATTCAGAGAAAAAAAAAATCCAGTGACCAATTCCACATTTAGAGGATAAACAAAGGGTTTACGGTTTACAGAGCAGAGAAAAAAAAATTTGTACAAAATCTGGAAACCCAAATCGACATTCAAAACCACCAACACCAAATCGACATTCAAAACCCAAATTTCATCAAGCCATACACCAAATCGACATAAAAAAAAGCTCAATCGAGTACTTACAGATGCAGAGATTGTGAGCTCCAATCAGATCCGGTCTCAGCTGGCGACAAAATCTGGAAACCCTAACACGAGCAAAACCACTAACACCGAGAGAACAGAGATTTTGGGAACTCTGCCGCCGACCAATATTTGTAAAATCCTTCCTAACATATTCAAGCATGAGATAATAAATTTTCTTAAGTCACTTACAAACCAACAAAAGCCTCAATCACGACTCAAAAACCCGAGCACCAAATTTTGAGCAAAATAGAGTTTTCTAGTGTGTTCTAGTTCAATAGTTCATGTGAAATTCTATATCAACCTCTTGAAATTGGTTTCATACTCTTATGTTCTTATTGTAAGGAATTTCGTACCACATGTGGGGTCCAACTAATGAACAAAATCCATACTTAACATTTTTCAAAACTTCGTCACCAATTAAACTCTTTGTAATTCATAAAAACCACTATTATAAATCTCTTTTCTACTATTCCACTTATCGGATCCACCTTCGAGCAATCCTGTCATTTCATCAAAACATTATGCTCAATAACTACTTAATATACACTAATAACATAACAATGCATCTCAATAAAATGTCAAACTTATAAATCATGTATATTATGCCATGAATGTATGCAATGCATTGGTCAACTCGTATGTGAGAATTTTTGGGCATCACATAAGCATACTTCAAAACGTGATACCCGGTCTAATTTGCACTATTTTCCAACATAATGTAATACAGCTCAACGGTTTTGCGTTTTGTGGTGAGAGCTTTTTTCCACATTGGAGCGAAAATGAAAAGTGATTTATTTCTTAGTGAGTGCAAAGTGCAAGCAAATCACAAAATACAATTAACGGTGTGGAATTGACCGGGGCAAAGCTTTTGTGTCGGCAGTCAATAATCAAGAAACAAAGTGAAGTTGTTTATAGTTTAATGGGTGGCCCATTAGCGACCGAAAATCAGAGAAGACTTGGAGTGGACCTATATATGGAGCCAACTCCAAGTCTAATGGTGGAGGACAGAGAAGCCCAATTAGTCCAACACTCCAACTAAGCATTTGCACTTAACACAACGACCACGCAATCACCATGACTTCCTCATACTCGCGTGCCGTGCTGCTTCAAAACCACTTGCTTGCTGGACGGAGAGGGTACGGTGTTGATTTTTTTTTTTTTTACCTCTTTTTTGTTGTGTTTAGTAAAAACTAGTTACAACGTGTGCTTCACGCACGTGACATCTTTTAAAATAATAGTTGTACAATTTTTTTTTTTTAAAAAAAAAGAGAAAAAGAAATAAATAAACAAATAATACGAAAAGAAACAAAAGAAAAACAGCAAAAAGGTTTTAAAAAAAATTGTGCAAGACGTTTCACACATTTTAACTTATGAACCAAACGTTTCGCATATAAGATATAATTAAAGCTGAAATATAGATTCTTTGTAACATTCTAGAAAGATTGATTTGCAATTACATTGGGTAAAGGCAATGCAACTTTTCCTATTTTAAAAGTTGAACTTATTTTTGTAAATGTCCTTTTTTTTTGTAAAAATTTTTATAGAACGCTAAATTTGGTGTTTTCCACCCTTAGTTTAGAGGAAAAAATGAAAATCACTGGACGAATTTTATCTTAATTCCGGAGAAAAATTTGAACCTTTGTTTTATCCGCACCCTAACCATAATTTCTTTCTGATTTCTATATGTGATCAGTATGCTTTTCTTTTTTAAAAAACAAACCAAATTCAATTTAAGTTTCACATATTATAAAATATCCAACGTCTTTTAACTTGTAAGCATCTAGAGTGACTAGGACCAATTCTCTCTTTAAATTAAACTTAACATAAGTGTTGGATCCTTATATCATTACTAAAAACTGCACGTCACGTGTACAATTTTCCCCATGTCGTACAAATCTCATGCACAAACAGAGATGGATATTTTAACGGATTACGGATATTTTGGGACACAATCATGACCGAAATTAGAGCGTGATTGGCACGTCTTAACTGACAATTGACAGCCGTTTTAACTTGAATCACAAGCCTGGTCTGGTCCTCCAGCTCCGAATCTTCAGATTCCTTTGTCCCTCCCAAATCACACCAAGACATGAGAAAAAAAGGGAAAAAAATGAAAAATGAAAAGGACTCAAATTTTTTTTAAAAGAGGTCTTCTATGGTAAGGCTTATTATTTTATCGGTAGTCTAACTGTTTAATCTGATTAAAATTATATTAAAATAAAAAAATTTATATAAAAATAGTTTTTTTTATAAAGATTTGATTACTAAAAAATATAAAGTTGCCCATAATTTATTTTTTTCTAAATCCTACTGTCAGAATATTTATATAAAAAAAAAAAAAAAACAGAGTATTGTGGGTCCATTCGCACCACCCAAAATCAGAGCCCCATCACAAACACGACGCAAAGCAATCAAAAAAGTCGCACGTGAAGACGCGTCTCATTGTCAAAAAAAACGCGTGAAACCGTCCTATATCTGATACATCTCACCCCAGCACGTTCAACTGTTTTTCAAATACTTTCCGTTTTTTAGTAACACAAAACCCGCGCAAAAAATAATTTAAAAAAAAAGAAAAAAAAAAAACAAACAAACAAGCACGCACAGTACAGTAAGTGCAAAAGAAAAAAGAAAATAAAATATCCCTTCACAAACATGAACCTTCCAACGTATAATGGTCATTATTAGTTTCCATTTTTTTACTTTTACTTTTTCTCCTCATCATCTTTCCTCAAGGCCACAATGGAGCAAGGAGATCATCAGAAGCAGAAGAGGAATGGAGGAGGGTTCAGATCAGAGAAGGAGTGTGGCGACGACGAGAACGACGTCGTTGGGGAGATGATGGGGCTGATCAAGACCGTTGGATCGTACTCCGAGTATCGGAAGACGGTGAAGAAGGAATGCCTGAGCTTGGTGAGGAGGTTGCAGCTTCTGGTGCCGCTTTTGGAGGAAATAAGGGAAAACGACGCCGTTTTGATGTCCGCTAGCGCTTTCAATAGCTTGGTCAAGCTGAAGTCGTCGCTTCGCCTGGCCAAGAAGTTGTTAAAGGATTGCAACTGTGGGAGCAAGATTTACTTGGTTAGTACTGATAAATCTACTCAAATTTAGCAGCTGGGTTTTTCATTTTTCATATTTGTTGTTTCAATCGGTGGTAGATTAATTTTTCAATGGTCAGATTTATGAGTACAACGCACGACTGGAAACTGCTTCGGATCATAGATCAGACCATTGAAAAATGTATCAAATAGCTCGATAGTGAAAAAGGGCAGTTACTGCTTACTACCATAGAAATTCCCTATGTTTATGGTGTGTTATTTATTGCGTATTTTTGTGGGGGTGTATGATAAATATTAGGCACTAGAGAGCGAGGCTGTGATGGGGAGATTTCATGCTGTTTACGACAAGCTAAATCAAGCTTTGAACGAAATGCCTTACGATGAACTTGGAATCTCAGATGAGGTGAAAGAGCAGGTAATAAATTAGATTCCTTTTTTTTTTTTTTCCTTTTTTGGAGCTTTAAGATGTTTAGTTGATTCCTTGTCAGAAAATGTCTATGTCAGAGTCAGATCTGCAGCAGATAATGAGATAACCATTTTCACATTTAATTAGTCCATATCATCTTTAATGTGCTTAATTTAATGAGTATAAAGTGGGACTCACATTTTGGGTTTGCATCTCTATATCAGGAAAAAAGAACTTGCAGATTGGATATTTGTAGAAATCAAGTTTACATGACAATTTAGTGTTAGTACAGCCATTACAAGGACTTTTCCCTGAATTAAAATGAACATACTTTGAGTTTTTGTAATTAAATGACTTAGAAGTCTCCTACAGAGAAGCATGTACGTTTTCTTTAATACAAAAAGTAGTGGTTAAGGGCTTTGTTGTACTGGTTAACTTCAGGTGGAGCTAATGCATTTGCAACTAAGGCGGGCAAGAAGGCGATCTGAGACGCAGGATATGGAACTAGCAATGGACTTGATGGTGGTGTTCTCTACGAAAAAAGATGACCGAAACGCAGACATTGCTATACTAGAAAGACTAGCAAACAAGTTGGAACTCCATACCATCGCAGATCTGAAAGAAGAAGCTAAGGCTGTTAGAGAACTTGTTAAAAGGAGAAGGCAGAACATCGAAAGCCTTCAGCAAATCACCAATCTTTTAGGCAAATTCAGAGAAAATGCGGGGATTAACGAGGCTCTTTTGGTTGATGGTCCTGTGTCAAAAAGTCTTCAGAGGTGTCCATCTTCGTTGATTCCTCATGAATTTCTCTGTCCCATCACATTAGAGATTATGACAGATCCTGTTATTGTTGCAAGTGGACAGGTAAATCTCACTTGGAAAACCTCTTGTACTAATTTCATGTTTCCAATATGATTCATGACCAATGTACTAAATGATTGTATTCAATGATCTTTCATTTATGCCACACAAACTGAGGTAGTTTTACTTGTTGTTTTTGAAGACTTATGAGAGAGCAAGCATACAGAAGTGGCTGTATTCGAATCGACGGACCTGCCCAAAGACAGGACAATTATTGGATCATTTGTCACTGGCGCCAAACTTTGCGCTCAAGAACCTAATAAGACAATGGTGTGAGCAGAACCACTTTGAGCTGCCCAGGAAAGATCCTCTTATGCTCCCTCCTTTTGGTTGTTCCGCGGAAATCATAGAGGAAGTCTCTTCCTTAATTGAAAAACTCTACTCTCGTCGTCTAGATGCGCAAAGAGAAGCCATTGTGAAGATAAGGATGCTCTCCAAAGAGAATCCTGATAACAGAATTTTGATTGCAAATAGTGGAGGAATCCCTCCTTTGGTTCAGCTCTTGTCCTATCCGAACCCCGGCATTCAAGAACAAACCGTGACAGCCCTTTTGAACTTGTCAATTGATGAGGTGAACAAGAGGCTCATAGCCAGGGAAGGAGCCATACCGGCAATAATCCAAATATTACAGAATGGAACCGGTGAGGCCAGGGAGAATTCAGCTGCGGCATTGTTTAGCTTATCAATGCTCGACGAAAACAAAGAACTTGTGGGGAATTTGAATGGAATCCCTCCCTTGGTTGAGCTTTTGAGAGATGGGACAATCAGAGGTAAAAAAGATGCTGCCACTGCTTTGTTTAACTTGTCACTAAACCAAGCCAACAAGTCTAGAGCTATTAAGGCAGGCATAATACCAGCATTGCTACAATTGCTTGAGGACAAGAACTTGGGCATGGTGGATGAAGCCCTTTCGATACTACGACTCCTCGCGTCTCACCCCGAGGGAAGAAGCGAGATCGGGAGGCTGAGTTTTATCGAAACGCTGGTGGGAATTATCCGGAGTGGGACCCCCAAGAACAAGGAATGTGCTGCTGCTGTTCTTCTTGAGCTGGGCTTGAACAATTCTTCCTTCATTTTGGCTGCACTTCAGTTTGGTGTGTATGAGCATTTAGTGCAGCTTGCAAAGTGCGGAACCAGTAGAGCCCAGAGAAAAGCAAATTCCCTTTTGCAGCACATGAGCAAGTGTGAGCACATTCCTTGATTCAAAATGAAAAGGCCAAGCCTTTTTCAATGAATTCAATTTCCAAGTGGGGAAAACAGAAACAACCTCATTGGGAAGTATATATAAATATATAGATATATAGATAGATATTGAAGTTGTGCCTGTTTTTTAATTGTATGTCCTCGTGACCATTGAGACTCAGAGTAGATTTTTGTCCTGTACATAATTCATGTTTCTTCCAAAACCAAGAGTTTGTTTTTTTTTTTTGGCTGAACAAAACAAGAGTTACTTGTTACGGTAACTGCAATCTGAATCTTTATGAAACAGATTCTAAACCTTATTTTCCCTTTTCCCCTTCTTTTGATGATATTATTACGTTACATTTTGTGATGTCAATTATCGTGGGCAATAAAGTGCCTTTCTTAACTTATTGAAGGTAAAAGCTCTCATTCTAAATGTAAATAATGTATGGAAAATTCCATATATGTCATTTTTTTTTTTGCCTCATATCTTCTGTTTAATTTTAGTGCTTTAAAAAAAAATGTAATGACATCAAGAACTAAGGTTGAAAAAACGAGTCAACACTTGTTGAGTATAATTTTATGATTTATAGTGACAACTCAAAAATTTTTTTTTAATTTTATTTTATTTTATCGACAACTCAAATTCAATTTGATTACGAAAAAATACAATTGGGTCTCGTATCACTTGCCGAAAAATGTTAGTCCCAAAGAGCCCCACCATCCCCCACAACCAAAGAGAGAATCACGATTCTTGGCCTATATTTGTTTCACAAATTAAAATTGAAAATTTAAATTATGTATGTAAGAGAAAAATATTGTAGTAAAAAAATTGAATTTAAATTTTTATGAGAAAAAAAATACTGTAACACTAAAACTGAGTTGTGACTTGAGTTGTAAAAAGAATAATACCTTAATTTTTTACTCTTATTCTTAATTAATACCCTTTTAATTAATGCCTAGAGAATATTAATCAATAATCAAATATAAAAATCTAGATTCATACATTTTAAAAGTATTTATCTCCTCTTTTTCTAATAAAAAAAAAAGCCTGACAAGGAACGGTTAATGTTATTATCCGATAAAAGAATTATTGCCCAAAAAAAAAAAATGTTGCCCGTTACTTTTGATAGTGATAAATGCACGTAAATTATTTTCTTCAATTTATGTAAAATCAGTGATTCTCCGAAGGGAGAAAATATAAAAACTAAAGGAGAGAAATTACTCATATTAATATACATGTCCAAATTCAAAGATGAATTTTCTTCCAACTTAGGTATTTTTTTTTTCCAACTATCCCTTGAACTTGAAAAAGCGACATTATCTTAGAGTTGTCAATCAAGCTGCCCAGCTTGACCCATGCGAACCGAAAAGAAAGAGTAATACTTAACACTCACTTTATTAATGTCCCATTAATTCATAATTTATATTTACTCTGTATTAAAATTACATTAAACCCATTACATACCCCACATTAATTATAAATGAAAATAATTTTTCAAAAAAAAGCATACACCCATATTAATTATAATTAAAAAGTATTTTTTAAAGGAATAAAAAAGCATACCCCCACGTTTTGTTTTACACTAAACCAAAATTAATTTGAAAACAAGGAACGAAAGCGAGTCTTCATTAGTTTTACCTATTAACAATATTATTAGGCAAAACAATCAAATACGCAGCTTTGTGAGGATCAAATTCGGAAAGATGTTCTTGTCCTTTTTTGTTGAAAAAAGAAAAAGAAGAAGGACGAGGTAAGACGAAAATAGTTGATAAATAAAGATAAAGGGAATTGCTTAATTTTTAAAAATATATTTAATATTAATAATTGAAAGAGATCATATTATTTTATAAATAAAATCAATATTAAAATTATGTGGGGGTATGAAAGGACTAAATCAGGTATTATGAAAAGTATATCTATAAAAGGATAGATTTTTAAATCTTTATTAGATGAGCATTAATTATTGAGCCATTTATAAATTTTTTGGTGCAAATATAACTATTCGAAAGGAAAAGATGAGTCTGGCTAGGTCGATCCAAAGAAAGGAAGGGGATCTTTAGCTTGGGTCGAAAGTTCAGTGTGCCCAAAAATTAATGAAAAAATTACTCAACTTACTCTTAAAAGTATATGAGTTTTAATTTTACTCGTTATTTTTAATTAGTATCATTTTATTTATATAGTTATTTAAGTAAAATGGTATTAATTAAAAAAAATAAGTAAAAATCAAGACTCATACACTTTTAAAGGGTATTTATCAATATTTCTCTATATTTTTTTTAATAAGAAAATATATTACAAAATGAGAAAAAATTAAAAATACTACTTAAAATGATAAATGATATTATTTATGACACTCTATTAAAAAATAAACAATTATTATTTAATTAATAAAATAAAATAAAAAATTATAATAATATTTAATTAATAAATAATAGATACTAACAAAACCATTACAAACCGTATACTTTTCTCTTTAAAAAAAGTTTAAGAAAAAAAACTACTCAGACAGAGCCACGCCAACTCACGTCTTTATGGGCTGAAAATCTAGGCTCGGTCTAGTTCGAGGGGCTTAGAATTGCCCAAATTAGGCCATTTTCTTTTTCTTTTTTTTAAAAACGTGTTTTAAATTGCGGGCCGGATCAATCACATGGCCCAATACGCCAACCTTGAACATGTCCGTTTGACCTAATCGCTGTAATTCTCTCTCTCTCTCCCTTTTTTATTTTTTATTTTTATTTTTTATAGAATTGCTCCAATTCTCTTTTCGCACATAATTGTAATATTTTTAAAACTTTTGAGAGTAAATAAAATATTTAATTTTAATAGTAAGTAAATAGCATTTTAATTTAAGAGACGTATCATTTTCTTAATTTATCCGGGTGCTTTTAATTATTAAAATTATGATTAAAATTATTTTTAATTTATATATATTTTTTATAAAAAAAATATTATAATGAAATACTAATGTGAAACGAATTTATCTACTAAACATCACCTTAATTGTTTTTCTCCTGCATCTTTCCTGCTCTCGAGTCTCGTCTACCGACCTCCTCTCTCTCTCCTCTCCCTCTCTAAACTGCACTGATCCACTTCGTCTCTCTCTCTCTTTCTCTCTCCTCAAGATTCTCTATCTCCGTCGCTAACAGCTGCATACCAATGACAACAGAAGATCATGAGCCAGCAGAGAACGACTCGCGACGGAGCAACTAGATCCGGCATTTTCGACGGCTCCTTGACTCATCGGCGGCAACAATTCGTAAATTTTCGGCTGGGTCGTGAAGGCTCCAGCGATCGCCGTCGCCGTAATTATGGAGAGAGAGGACGAGGACGACAAAAATAGAAAGAGAAGGAGAGGCACAGAGGTTGACGTTTTGGTTTTGTGGGAGGAGAGAGACAAAAGAGGAGATGAGGAGAGGAGAGAGAAAGATGGGAAAAATTGGTACATCAGGATTTTCATAAAAAGTTTTCCGTAATAATAGTCCGGGAGAGTTTGGGTTTTTTGATAAGAACTTGATTTATCCTGAAAATGCTATTTATTTTATTTTTACAAAATTTCTGCTAGTATTTTTTAGTCACCTCTGAAATTATGCTATTTCCCTCATTCATTAGCAAACTTTTCTCTCACGTCCACAAACTACTGATATGACACTTAATTAAGTTATTAAAACCTTAATTAAACCTCTGAAACTCTAATTAAAAATATAGATAAAAATAAATTGTTAAAAAATGAAAAAAAAAACTTTGGGAGATGTCGTTAGGGACCGGGGAGGGTTTTTTCTTTTTTTTTTTTTTTGTTTTTTTTTTTTTTTGAGAAAGGGAGAGGGGAGGGAGGTTTGTGGTGGGGAAGTTTTATATAT